TAGTCAAGAGTAGCTGTGTGAGTGCCTGCATCAATTTGGATTCAGCTCCGATTAGTTCAAAGTGATCTGAACATGCTCTGGTCCAATTTGGACCCAAGACTGACTCAATATTTAAAAATTCAATTTTTCACACTTGCTTGCTACTGATTTGCACTGGGAAACAAAAAATGGTCAAGGAAAGACAGTTTCTTTCATTCACTGTGATTAAGAGCAACCACAGCTTTAGGATTCATGTGACACATGGGCATGGTCCATCTAAAATAGAAGCTTCTGATTTCTTACTTACAGCCAACCATGAGAAGTGTGTGGGGATGCAGAAATCCAGAGGGAGACTACAAATAGTTTTTGTAACACTAAACTATGGTCTGAAGATCCAAATGCAATTAATAGATAATCTATACATTCTACTACATCCCATCTCATCTTGTGAGAAAAGCAGGGTATAAATTCAATAAATAAGTAAAATGATAGTATTCTAGAAATCCTATCATCGGCATCACCACCACTACCACCATAATTATCTTTTTATTGCTATTGTTCATGTTGTCACTGTTGTTGGTAATAGTAGATGGTAGTGGTGCAGCTGGTAAATGCTGTGAACAAGGAGGCCAAGTTTCATTTACTGACATTGCTCATTTAGCCAAGTTTCTATTTTATTCTTTTGCTGTAGCTTAAATTAAAGAAAGCCAATACCATTTCAACATCTTAAACATTTCAGCAATTATAAATGAGCAGTGAATTGCAGATCACATAGGCTGACAGCAAAGAGACACCATGAATGTGATGTGAATGAATGAGTGATTGAATGAATGAACCTAGAAAAAGTGTGGCAGTAAATTTCTGTTTGAACAGTGTATTTGACAGGAAGCACTAGCACACCAGAGAGCTGTAGAGGAAAGGAGAAAGTGAAAAATTGTATTGTAAGGTTGGATGGTTATGGCCAGGAGAGAATCAATGCATTTTCTTGTTAGCTCTCTAGATGCCAGGACTGAAATTTGAGGCTCAAATGACTACTATTTTGGGTCTCCTATACCAGGAGGACACTTTTTACCACAATACTAAGGTGTTGGCGACTACCATGTTTTGCATGTCCTTTGCTTTCTACGTTACAAACAGACACTTTGTGCCACCATTTTCCTGATGCTGTGGTGAATGAACCTGCTGTGGTGAATGAATGCCTCAGTAGTCCTGGTTCAGTTGCCAAGTGAGGTGTTTAAGCTGTCTGTCTCAGTCTATGGTCAGTCTGTACACTTGCAAATAAAGGCATCCATTACAAATTTTCAGCAAATCTCCTATGAAGGAATAGAGGGCATGCTTATGAAATCTGCAAATGACATCAAATTAGAAGGAGTAGCTAATACCCCAGAGGAGAGGATCAACATTCAAAATGACCTTAATAGATTAGCAAGCTGGGCCAAAACTAATAAAATGAATTTCAACAGGGAGAAATTGCACATAGGCAGAAAAAACAAATGAAATGCATAGATATAGGATGGAGGACACTTGGCTTAACAAAAATACATGTGAAAGGGATCTAGGAGTCCAAGTAGACCACAAATTGAACATGAGTGAACAGCTAAAAAAAACAATGTGATTCTGGGCTGCATAAATTGAAGTATAGTGTCAAGATCGAAGGAAGTAATAATGCCACTCTATTCTGCTTTGGTCAGGCCCCACTTGGAATACTGCATCCAGTTCTGGGCATCACAAGTCACAAGTCAAAAGGGATGTTGAGAAGCTAGAGCGTGTCCACAGGAGGGCAACCAAAATGGTGAAGGGTCTGAAAACCATGCCTATGAGGAGGGGCTTAGGGAGATTGGTATGTTTAGCCTGGAGAAGGGAAGATTTAGAGGTATCATGAGAGCCCTTATTTGAAGGGGTGTCATACTGAGGCTGGAGCAAACTTGTTCCCTGCTGTGTCATAGAACAGGACCTGGAACAATGAATGCAAGCTACAGCAAAAGAGAGTCCAAATATTAGGAGGAGCTTCCTGATAGTAAGAGCTGTTCAAGAGTGGAACACATTGCCTCAGAGAGTGGTGAAGTTTCCTTCTTTGGAGATTTTTAAACAGAGGCTGATAGCCATCTGTATTTGATTCTGTGTTCCTGCATGGCAGGGGGTTGGACTGGATGGCCCTTGGTGCCTTTTTCAATTCTATGATTCTATGCTTTTAAAATGTCCTAGTTTCTCTTTCTTTCTCTGGTTTTGCCCTGTCATCCTCTGCTTATATGCATTGCTGCAAACTGAGTTCAAACTCCAAAAGTAGCTTGCATTCAGTTAACTCAGGAAGGGGAAGAGGAGAGGAAGGGTAGAATCTTGTCTTTCCCAATACGCTCAGAGAAAAGCAAACTGCTGCCTCTTAGTTTGTATATTCTCCCTCATTAATAACTTATTGCATCTTGACTACACTGATATTGATTGGCCACACCTGTCCCCATTTTAATTTGTGAAATATTGGAGGTTATAAATGTGTATGTGGCCAGCCATGTTTGCACTCTGTCATGAATTGGGAACCTTCATAAATCAAGATTCTTGACCATGTGCAACAATATAATTAAGTTAAACTGCACTTGCATATAATGCTCAACTCTGTTCTTCATATGAATAGGTTAGTAGTAGAGTGAGCAGAGCAAAAGGAATCTGGAAAAGCTATTTTTGAAGACCATACCTCCCAGGTCTAATCTGCACTGCAAAAATAATGCAGTTTGACCACCACTTTAACTGCCATGGCTCCATGCAATGGGATTCCGAGATCTGTAGTTTGGTGAGATATTTATCCTTCTCTGTTAGAGACCTCTGGTACCACAACAAACAACAAATCCCAGTGCAAATTAGACCCCAGAATCCTATGCTGGCTCCAAGTGGTCATACTGGCTGGTGGATTCTGGGACGTTATTTCCACTACACCTCACACACAAAAAAACAGAAACAAATACATCTCCAAATTTTAGGAACATGTGTTCCTGGCTCCCTCCAAGCTCACAGCAAATGCTTTTCAAAGTAAGTTTGAAGAAGGCTACAGTCTATTGCTAATTTGCAATTTTTCTAGCTTTTTCTTCAGATAAAGCTAATGTTAAAAATTTGCATTTATTTTGAAGTTCATCTATTTTAGAAAAGACACAACTTGGCCCTCCAGGGATAACTTCCTTGAACATTATTATTAAAAGTCTGCTAGTGAAATTATTTGCATTAAAAACAGAAGCATGACTATGAAAGTGCTAGAAACTATCAGTATTATTTCTCCTTCATTAAATAGGATGCCTTTGAGACAGGAGCAGCATTATGAGGTTGCCTTGGGATGTATTTGCTTGGAGGGCTGAATTATGTTGATCCAAATTCCCACAACCAGAACAGCAATGCATGGATTTGAACAGAGTCAGTGTGGTGCAGTGGTTTGAATGTTGGACTATGACTGTTGGAGACCCAGAGTTCGAATTTCTGCTCAGCCATGGAAGCCCATTGGGTGATCTTGGGCAAATCACACTCTCTCAGCATCAGAGGAAGGTAAGGACAAACCCGCTCTGAGCAAATTCTGCCAAGAAAATCCCATGATAAGTTGGTCTTAAGGTCACCACAAGTCAGAAATGATTTGAAGGTACACAACAAGAATGACAATCAGGTTCAGTTGCTTAACTAGGGGAGCCAATGACTAGAAAAACATTCATAGCTTGCAATTTAAAGTAAAACTTGGAAGCTCATGGGTTCACACTTGCTAGGCCAGTAACCTGAGGTCAAAGATTGGGAAAGTTCCTTTTTTTGGGGGGGGGAGGATGACAGTTCCCAGAATCCTCCACACAGCATGGCTATTGTTCTAAACTAGCCTAAGCAATTGATCATGATTGCTGGGGGTAATGGGAACTGCAATGCCACGTTCTCCTGTGATGTTATAAGGAGGCTGCACCAGTAAAAGTGATTGCTTTATTCTCCCTCCCCTTTCCTTTCTTCTCACTGTAACTGGGAACAGTACAGTAATAATACATCTTCTCCCACACACTTCTTTGAAACCAAAATGTAGACAAATTGCAGAAGAGCTGAATACATTTTCCAACATATCACAGTGGTAAAATCCCTACAGTAGCTACAAATAGCTCTGCTGAAGGGTGGTTAACGTGAAATGTGAAAATATCGCATAATCGGCCATTTTAAACTGTAATGTGAACGAGTTCAACATACTTCAGTATCTTTCATGAAAAGCACTACAAACATTCGCAAGACCAATTTTCCTGCCTAGTACAATCATAGCAAAGGACTGGGTGGTTTCATTAAGTGAGGCTGGATACATTCCAGGAAATCAAACATTTGCTACCACATCTGTTATTCTGTGTATGTTAAGGAAACATCGGACTCCTCCATCTTCAGATAAATGGCCTTCACTTTAATAGAACTGCAAAAACAAAAAATAAAGGCCTCAGTGAGCAGCAGCTGTCTCAGGCAGAAGCTGTTAGTCACCAGAGAGCAGTGGCAAGATGATGGAGGACAGAGTTTTGTGGGCTTGCTCTAAGCTAGTCCGGTGGTCTCACATGTGTTAGATAACACTGTCCCATCCAGCAGTGCTGAGGTAAGATGGAACTGCCTGTCTTGTCAGCTTCTGCATGTAGCTTGGGCAAGGAGGAACCATCTTGTCCTTTGCCTCAGGTGGCAACGTATCTCAGGCCAACCCTCACTCTAAAAACTGTGTGATCTTGATCCATATTGTGTGTGTGTGTGTGTGTGTGTGTGTTGTGTGCCTTCAAGCCTTTTCTGACTTATAGGAACCCTAAGGTGAACCTATCATGAGGTTTTCTTGGCAAGATCTGTTCAGAGGAGATTTGTCATTGCCTTCCTCTGAGGCTGAGAGCACCCAAGGTCAACCAGTGGGTTTTCATGGCTGAGCTGGGAAGTGAACCCTGGGGTCCAGAGTTGTAGTCCAATACTCAGACCACTACACAACACTGGCTCACAATTTACTAGCTTTAAAAGGTCCACCTAGGAGCTAAGGCTGTTCATTTGGAGCTATGGTAGATGGAATCTAACTCACAAGGAAGATTCAGAACATAAACACAGTCTTTAAGTAAGAAACTTCTTTAACCACTTTTCCTTACACACAAACAAACAAGGTGCACTAGCTGCTTGTTACATCTCCAGCATAGCATTGTGCTAGCCCCTTCTCTACCTCAATGGTCCTCTCAGATCACCAACAACAATACAATAATTGGCTCAAAGGGAAGGGTAAGTGGAAGGCTAATTCCATGCACACACATCCCGACTCATGCTGTTGCTGATGATGTGACAGAGCCTGTCTTCTCGATCAATTTTTCTGCTTGATCTGCTTTTTCAACCCAGGGAAATATTAAAGGTGGATGAATCCATCACTTTGCTTTCTCCTCCATTCAAATTATTTTAATCTCAGATTCTTTTCATTGAATGTATGAAGACATACACGTTTTGGGATGCTGTCATGAAAACCAACTGAATAAATTTTTCAGCCATCAGCTGCTATTGGAGCTGAAGTCTGTGGCTGCCTCATAGACATACCCCAAGAAAATAAAAAAAAAGCAGACAGCTATCTTGATCCATATCAGCAAACCAAGGTGAGTGGTTTCCACCTCTACCATAAGCAGGCCTATAAAAATGTAATTGGTCTTAATTTTCCATTTAACCCTCAACCCTTCCATCCTTAACAGTATACAAGGGTTAGCTCTGTTAGTATACCCTACACTCCCCACACAGGATATGGGGTTTTATATTTAATATCTAACAGCAGGCATGCTTTTGAGAGACCACAATGACCTTTGGAAACTAGGTAAGACATCATGCTAACCTGAGGACATGTGGGAGACCTAGATAGTACTATGATAAGAGTTAAATGGGTTTGCTACTTACTTTACCATCCCCTAAGCTCTTCATACATCCACTTCCTTAAAACAGTTAAATACCATATTTACATTTCACCTGAGGCCACATTCCTTTTCACCGTTCATGTCTGACCGTCCAGAGATTGTCTCAAATCCTATAAATATTTTGCCATTCCAGAGTTAAAGCCATCAGCCAATCTGGCTCTTTTGTCAATTTCATGAGAAAGCCATCAAAGCTTTTGTTATACTATGGGATAGCATCAATGATCCCGTGAGGCTATGAAACAGGATCTAAATAACAGCTCCAGACTTAACCATTTTGTGCTTACAGTTTGCCCACTGACCCTGTGTTCACAGAAGGTCTCTCTCATTCACTGTGTCATCTTCAGATGCTTTCTGAGCCCTGCTCTGTTTTACATGAACCTATCCAGGACCGGTAATTACCAGTCCCTCTAATTCCTGACTTCTCACTATCCAACCTGCCACTCTTTCCTTTCTGCTAGCCTTGTATGGTTTTCAAGGTCATATTGGTTTTGCATGTTCATGTGCACATTTGCACATTTCTAAATAAATCTCTCTTCATTAAAACTTGAGTGTCTCTTCAGAGAGTACGGGTATACGTAGATGGAACATTCCCCAAAGTTAGCCTCCTCTCACAGGCCTTTTTTTGAGCTAATAATTCCCCCCCCCCATACACACACACACACAAACCAAGGAGACACTGATGCAAGTCCCCTTTTAGGGTAGCAGCTCACAGCAATATATTGCAATTGAAAAAACCTATTTTCCTTCCGGTTAGAGTGAGTATTGCAGTGATGGGTGCAGTTTCACCCAAGTCCTGCTGTTGAGCTTTCCATAGGCAACTGTGAACAGCCTGTTTGACTAGATAGGCCTTTGGTCTAATCCAGCAAGGCTTTTCTTATATTTCTAAAGTCAGAGGGAACAAGAGGTGACAGATAATATCAATATCACCATCAGGCCTAAAATAAGAAGAAGAACCCTCCCTCCATTACCATCCGATGTCATCTGGGGGAGAGACACTAAGCCCAGCACCACCCAGCCTAGAATAAGGAGAACCCTTACTTCTTAAAGGATGGGTGGGATTCGGATTTTGTTTAATGGAAATTGTAATGTTGTAAGCCGCCCCGATTGCTCTGCAGAGGGGCGGGATATAAATAAAAATTATTATTATTATTATTATTATTATTATTATTATTATTATTATTATTATTATCAACATCTCTGTTAACACTAAAAGCATGATGCCTCAATTCTATATACCACTATACCACCTATAATCACATCTTGATGTGCCATCTACTACATTTAATTTAACATTATTTGTATTTAATTGAAGCAAGCCACCTTGATAAACCATGCCTGAAGTAAGCCTGCTTTAATAGTTAAACATAACCACAGTTTGTCAGTCTAGACTCTAGATAATGCAACATGTAGGATGGTGAAGACAGGAAATGAAGGAATGTGTAAGCTTAAGGTTGTTTGAGGTTGTTCCAGCTCATGCATTTTTCACTAATCTCTGGTTTAGTGTCACATGTGAACCAATTCAATGTGTTCCGTAAATTTGGAAGGCACCTCTTTGGAGCAGCTGGTCAAGCTGACTTGTCACACCAGTGTGTCAATAATTAGGTTCTTTAAGCCCATGTTGCTAACCTTCCTAGTTAAACAAAATGTAGTGTCCCAGCTCACATCTTGTTTCTCTAAAGTCTTATTTTAATGTCAGACTTCATTTGGAAGGCTGCTTTCTGACACTTTGGACTATTTAATCAGTGCTTGCAGTTGACAAACCTGGAAATCAATGTCTATTCTCTCTTCTTGGTGGGCATTTTGACATTTCGTATGTGATTAAGCTAGTGCCTTCTGTCAGGATGAATGCACGCAGGGGAAAATGTCTTAAACGAAGCAATGCAGGACAAAGGCAAAAGGTTACTATAGGTCATGTGGCAGCCATGATGAGCAAGCAGTTGGAAGGGTGCTGTGTTACAGGAAGATGATGACACACAGGAAGGACATGGCATCAAGGACATGAAACCGCAAGGCTTCAATACTGCAAAGTCATGCCACATAAGGAACAGGAAACTGGGTTGCACACCAGTAAGGGGTTGGACTAGACGCTCTAGCAATGAATGTGTATATAAGGGAGGAGCTCCAATGCCCTGTGTGGTGGTGTTGATGTATATAATGAGCGGAGCATTTTGTCATTCAGTGTGAGATATTGTAAATATCAGAACAAAAATTAAAAGCCTCCTTGAGAGTACTCAGCATGTTGCCGTGTCTGCAGCTTCTGTGTGTGGGAGAAGGAGTTCTCCAGCCTGCACAGAATTGTACAGCAGAGTTTTCTGTGGTGTGTTCTTGGTGCACAAGCTTCAGCGTCTAGACTTCAGGTTGAAAATGCATCAACACCTTCAGTAGAACATGATTTTGGTTAAAAGGAAATACTTCACTTTCTTTTCTTTCCTTTTGTATTATTTTTTTAAAATTAAATTTAACATGAACAATCTAATTTATAATCAAAGTAATATACATTCAGAAAACAAAAAGACAGAAAGAAAAGAAAAAGACAAATAACAAAAACACAATAGGGCTCTAACCTCCCA